GCGTTGACCAACATCCTTCCCCGGGTTGGGCGACAACCCGGTCACTAAATGAACAAAACCTCTATGTATACATGAATCTAGAATAAAATGCTACAGTATTCCGGATATGTGATATCAAGCGAATCGTGAAGCCGAAATCGGCAGGGGGGGCAAAATAGATGTCGTGCAAGAGCCCCCACAAAGGGAAAGTCTCCAAAATGTTTAAATTACGTGGGACGAGGTAAATCCCAATTTTCCCAACCTTTGCACGCTCCCTTTTCATCATTTTCAACTTCCACCGATTCGGGACTGGTATGATTATTGGTCCCCATGCACACTCATCTAATGCTCATCTAATGCTGCCTCCGATTTGACGCCTTAGGAGGCCCTCCAACTACCTTTAGCGCGCGAAGCGAGGTGGCGTGGCAATGATGGTCGATGTCGATTGAGCATGTTGAGCCCTGTCCAAGGGGGTCCTCCAAAGATAGATCCACCATGGCACGATCTCCATGGACACTGCTCTACATGCGCGATCTTTGTCGCCAATTTAACCACAAGATGGTGCAAATGCACGTTGGCTGTGAATACTGTTCAAGCCCATCCAATAGCATCGTTTTGGATTCCGACCGGGAAGAGGTACCATTCAGAACTTTCATCTATAAAATCATCAATGCCAGTCTCTGATTTTATGTTGTAGAGATAACTTGACATCACAGCGGGTCAAGCAGTGCGACGTTTGGCGACGACTGTGTGCAGTGATCGCGTTATTTGCGCAGCGAACGATGTCGATGGAGATTGACGCATGTCCGATCATACATGCGTCGAACTTCATTTCCAAATGTCGCGCTTCAAATGATGTTGCAATGCATAGGGACAATTGCATAAGGTTATATGTAGCATTGCGAGGGCTGACCTCGCCTTAAGGATGAAGACTTGTACATGATGGGCAATTAGGGTTGACGATTAACTCATTAGACTTGATATTGCTGTACTCAAATGTTCGTTGGTTCGCTCTTTAGCTTCGTGTGCTCCAATGAAGCACATCTTGACCATGACTTCACGGCTTGGTCCGCGGCATGAATTATCGGGAACTGACTTCTCACTATCGAACCAAATAAGGAATGGTTTTCGTATTATTTTTTATGTAACATTAGCTCAGTGGTAGCGCGTCAGGATCTTAACCCAAAGGTCCGAGTTTGAGTCGGGAGTTTTATACAGTGTTTGCATTTTTGTACCATTTCTATTTTTACCACTGCTTCGAAACAAGGTGATGTGGGGTCAAACGTGCGGGTCGTCACACTTACTGGAGCAAATCGGCGATTGTATACATGCCGGAGGGTTAATGAATGAAACACCAGAGTTTGCGTTAGGCACGGAGGGACACCTGGCGGTGTAGCATACTGTATGTCAACCATACATGACGTTGTAGCCTACGACTAGAGTAGTTTGTACAAGGGAGTACAAAGGCATGGATTAGGAGCTCCTAAATGCAATATTCAGTTATCTAAATGAAATAGGAGGGTCAATCGTTCGCACACCAAAACCAAGAGTCAAAGGCAGTATCGAGTATGTGATTTGGAGGGTCGACCTCGACCACAAGGATGGAGACAAGTACGCGTTGGGCCAATAGAGTTGAGGATTAACTAATTCGACTTGATATTGCTGCACTCAAGTGTTCGTAGGTTCGATCTGTAGCTTAGTGCGAGCTCCAATGAAGCACGTGACAACTGTAACTTCAGAGCTTGGTCCGCGCCATGAAATATCGTGTATGGACTATAATTGACCCATGACGGGTCATATATGGCTCGACCTCCATCGACAATGATCGTTACATACTCGATCCATGCCGCCATTCGTAGCCACATGAAGTGCTGTAAACGATACTCGGAGCTGACGCCCCCCCAGTATTGAACTGGTAGGATTATTTCCCCATATGCACATTCATTGTACTGAATTCTGTCCCCAAATTGAGGCCCTCCAAATCACCGACGTACCATCTTTTCGGCTACGACTGTGGGCATGTAACGAGCATGTACACTACCTGAGCGATCACTGTCGACGGAAGTTGAGCCATAGTAGCTCGCATGGCTCGACCTCCATGGACAGTGATCGTTGCATGTTCGATCCTTGGCGCCAGTAGTCGCAATAGCCATGAAAGTTCAACATTAAATGCGCCATCACTGATGAATGTTCCATCAAGGGTCGACCTCCATGAACCTTTTTCACACCAGTACGATCCTTCCACCATTTCGTGATCGCTACGATATCCCACATCAAGTGCAGATCGGTGCTGAAAGCCTATGGATGATAGTCAGGTACATTGTCATAGTAGCAATTTAGCCATTGCAACAAGATGACCAACGCCAAACAGCATGATATGGCCCGTTAAAACTACTAGTACCGGGAAATACAGTTAAAAATGTACCCTAATGAGTAAACAAGCCAATTCATACTCAAAGGAACTCATGGGTATTGGAGGACCAAGAGAATAGCGTTGCTACAGCTATGTCTCTCCAATCCCAACCACTATTAAGTGACCCTCCTAGTCCACAAATGGCAACGCCCCCTGGAGCACCACCAACGCAGACCAATCACACATCCTAGCAACGTATATATCGCAGTTGATCCCACGTAGTGGTGGTTCTGATATACTTATTGGATCTCCAGAATCACTACTACACTGGTGGAAAACCGCATCAGTCATCCCTCCGTGCCTGCCCTACCTTGGTAGGCCGATAAATATATATTTTCCTTATGCCAAACGATCCCATGGTAAGCGAATATCGATGAATAAATGATACTGCAGCCTTCTGTCATGGCCGCTTTTAAGCAATCAGAACACAAGGACGCATGCCGAACAAGCTAATATGGTCATTTGAAACAAGCACCGGTGAATCCTGCCCTATGTAGTTGAACAATCAGACCAATGCCAAGCGTCCAAGGAACTAGGGATTGGAGGTACGACCTCGACGGGATTGGAGGTACTACCTCGAACACAGGGGTACATGCACATCTAAGGGCCAATTGCGTTGACGATTAACGCATACTGAGTCCATGATCTTGGTCAATTCTAACCACTTCTACAGCCTTCAAGTCACCCCCCCTACTTCACTAGCGGCCCACGCCCCCAAGAATATCATCAACGCAGACCAATCACATATCCTAACAAGGGCTGTCGCTGTATTAGACCCGTGTAGTAGTGGCTCTGGATGCATATCGGACCTCCAGAACGACTACTACATGGGACCAACACCGCCATCAGTTCCTTCGTGCCCAACCTACTTTGGTGGGTCGATAAAGATAACCTTCGACAAATCCATACCGCCTAATGATCGCCTCAGTGTCGTCGAGGTGTATGGTTAAAAATGCTAATATTAAAAAATAGTGTAAAAGCCGGATTAGAACTCGGGACCTTTAGACTACGAACTTGTGCCTCTACCGCTGAGCTACCAGCAATAACTTATGTCGTTTGGAACAAAACCATTATGTGATGTATAAATTTGTGCGGATTTCGCAATTTTCGTGGCATGGAACCAGCGCCGAAATCGGGGATTGGCGAGCTGTATTGACGCACTACCAAACTCAAGCTGCAACCAACGATCAAAAACATCTATTCTAATGAGACAATCACATATACTGTAGGTCCTCCATATCTTTAGCTTCATCGTTGCGTTCAATACCGGACCTCCAAATCACTCCAGTAGGTAGTTCGTTTTACTCTATGCATGAGTCGTGTGCTTTCTCAGTTGAGACCATTCGTACTACCTTCAGTACGACTACTTGTTTCAACCACAATAAAAATCTGGTTGGGTCGTTTGTCGTGCACTAAAAGCGAAAAGCAAGCAAAACATAACGCTATACTACGAAGTACTTCGAAGTATTAGTTTACACTAAGGTCATCATCATACGTAGCACTGTATTTCGCAGTAAACTTGTCTGCGACCATGAATCGACTACTCACGGCAGTGTTCGTGCATGCAGCGATCAATGTCGATATGAATTGCACGATCTATCGTAACAGAAACCCTATCGACATTATCGACACATGCACGAATTCATCTCGTAGTCGTAATCACGCGCTGTGGAGCATCCATTTTTACGAGTTGGAGGGACTTACGTGTTTCTTATGGCTGTTGAATTGCGTGAATGAGTGGCCCGATATCGACGGTCGACTTGTTTAGACCACCAATGTTTTTGGGCCACTCATATCTCCGCTCAATGAACTTCCAAGCTCTTAATGTGTACAAATGACCCTCCTAGATGTAGATATGACGACATAGCGCTTGACTTCGAAACTACAGTTAACATTCTTCTTTAAATCTTTGGTGGACGCGCTTCGATGTATTTTGGTCCGGTGTTTCGGTGTTTTCCATAGAAACTGCATTTTCGCCTTAGGATACTAAACAAATACGGTACTATACCTAAAGTGTGCTACAATACTGTAGATGTTTCGATATGGTGCGATGATCCCACTTCATCGTCAACATTATGTGCCTACAAATAGAACTTCAAGGGCTGTCCTTGAGCCATCTGATGAAATTGGTATGTCATCGCACATAGACGCTCCATTTTATCAGAATTTTGGTGGGTCTTAACGTTTTTCATACCCGGCTTAAGACCAATTCCCAGAGTGAGTGGGTGACACACCCACTCAATGGTCAAATGCCCACTCACTCAGGGAATTTGGTACTATTGACCTAAAACGTCCCTGAGTAAGTGGGTGGGACTAATTGCTTGCTACGATGAGTACACCTAACGTTAAGTAACGTTGAGATGGCCACAACAAATCAACACACACTGTCAACGTTTTACAACGTAATCGAACCACCTGAACAAACCTTCAACTCGAAGTTTACGTAACGTAAATCATAATAACGTTATGTAACGTTGGCTGCCCAACCAAGTACTTCGAGCGCTTGCCCGTCACTTGTGACGATTGCTTGCGAGACCGCTTTACACTTGTTGTCGTGTGTCCCTGGTGGAGTTGGGGCCAGCTTGCACTCTTATTTCAAGGAAAAAACTCGGGCCACACGTTTCCGGGCAACTTCCTTCAGGAAAGGGAACGCGTCTTCTTTTGAAAGGCGTTCGTACAACTCCGCTTTGTTCTCCGTGTTTAACCATACATCGTGGTGTTTGTTGCTGACGTGGTTCGGCATGAGGTTGGTCCAGTGGATGCTGCCACAAATAGCCCCAGCACATTTGCCATTGGAGTACTCCACAAGACATCTCGACTTCGTCTTCACACTTGGCCACAAGTCATACGTGCGCATTTCTGCATCGAGTGAAGCGAACTCGGCTTGGAGCGCATCCTCGATCGCTTCCTCCATCTCGATTCAAATTTTGTTGACTAATGTTCCGAAGTCATTAGTCATGACTGTGTTCGCTGCTTTGATCGAAATGTAATCCTCTTTGTCGGCGTGCGGCCGGACAATACATAGTTCGATAGCTGTCGCAATGTACTCGTGTGAGATATGAGCCTCCATGCCAAAGTACTTTTGAGCCACACATACGGAACGCGCACAGTAGTTAGTGTAATAGGAAATAGTGTGAGACCCCACAAATTTATATTGTGTCGTCATAGGAAAACTGTGATCACCATTTTATCCAATCAAAGAACATTTCCGTTTCGATTCTGCACATATAGGTGGGTGGCATCCGACATCAAACCGACAAATTTGAAGTCGGTGATTGGATAACCGACAAATTATTGAATTTTGATTGGTCAGGTATTTTTTAGACAATCCGATTGGGCGATGTGGTTGTCGTGTGAGCAACATATCGCTCACATTGAACATATACAGCTTGCTATTGGCTGAAAACACAGTCGTATCGACATACTCCGGAACAATCACCAAGACTTTGACACAGCATCTCGAAAACAACCATGATCTCGACTCAGCATCCCAAGAACAGAAATAAGTCGAGCAGAGCTCGACAAACAAGGTGACGAGTTTTGACTAGTACGAGTACAGAGAAGTAGCTGCTGTGCTTGGTGTATGGATGATGTACATCCATAAACAACATCATTAGAGAGGCCGCACGGTCGTCCACAGACCCACATGGCATGTTCATCTCTGTAAATCCATAGGAACGCGGTGTTGCCAGGGCCACTGGACTGGGGCACGAAGCAGTTTGTGTTCCGGTGGTTGCGTTAAACAACCTCTTTAGTAACAACTTCACTGACACACCAAGTCGCACAATCGGAGTTATGATGGACAGTACATACGACATACTTATCGACCTTGCCAGTGAAACTATACAACACTCGGGGCTATTCATCGCTGAGCCGACACCACTTAAGCTCGCCAACCAGTCGTCCCCGACACCGTGATCACGTTGATGTACTGTGCATTCATCAGGCGAAATGGCCGTGCCACAGATGGGACGTGTTGCCGATGGTAAACTCACGAATGATCAGTACACTGCAGCACGCTGACGTTGATGTGGCCACTAAAGCGAGGGGGTCGCGTCACTAACTCGAAATTGGTGACGCGACCCAAGAGCACGTCGATCACGCCACGCTCTTTTTTCCAACGAACCGCGCATCTTCATTATGGTGTCTTTAACTGTACGCTTTCTAGATTCCTCGTTGGAAATGCAAGCCATTGCAACATCCCTGGAGGTGACAGGATTTCTGTCCTTATGCCTTCATGGGACACAGCAACAACTGTGGTCAGGCCGCAAACGCAACTTTAGGGTGCGAATCCATCTTGCAGCCTCTGCACGCAATACACGTTGTAACCGTGTCCATCATCCGTTTAATAACCGGATGACTAGTCGGCACCCCTTCAGTCCAAGGTGTATCTTCGCACACCAACTAGTCCTCTTGCGCAACCAAGGTGTTCCCCCGACGATACTTCAATGGTTGGTTGCGCGTAGCTTAGTGATAGGTAGTAATTTTAACACTATCAATTCATTCTTGATTCTACCATCTCCTGCGTCTTCCTCTGCGCACGCTCACACCTGGTAGCACTCCAAGTTCGTCCAGTCGACCAACATTATGTCCTCCACCAACACCGCAGCCCACCAGGCGGTCCTCGCACTTTTGCGTCGCGGTTTTGGCGAAAACGATACCGCGTTACTCCTTGGCGGGATGACTCCCGATAACCAAACTCGCCTTGTGGAAGGCATCGGTAGCACGATTGATCTTTCGGCTGCCGAAGCTACGGCCGTCCAGAAGGCATTGGAAGAACAAGTCGTCCAAATGTCTTCGTACGGGCGAAACCTTTTAAGATTCTCTTCGCGTCGCTCGCGAGGAAAGCGCGACCCTAGAAGACCAAGCCTCCGCCATGTCGTCCCATGGTTGCACCCTCCAAAATTCTCTGCGAATCGCTCACGATGAGATCGCGCGCCTCACGCGCGCTTCAGAGTCGGAAACGCCATCGACTTCTCGCCTGAAGTCGATCAAGCTGGATGTTGCTAATTCGGTGGAGCGGAGTCGGACAAACTCCTCCGCTGGCTTTTACAAGTCAGCACTGCTGCTGACGCTCAGTGTATCTCCAACGACGCCACCCGCGTAGCTTTCGCGATGTCGCATTTGAAGGGTCGTGCGGAAGATTGGGTGTTCTCCAAACGCTTGACGGACCGCCACTGCGTCCCATCTTTCGCGGTCTTTGAGACCGAACTCAAGGCAATGTTCCTGCCACCCAACAGCGACTTTCGTTATCGCTCGCAATATCTGGCTTGCAAGCAAGGGAAACTCTCCATTCAAGAGTTCATCCATGATCTTCGCTTCTTGGCTGCGAACATCAACGAAGAAGAGTCACTTCCGGAGCCCCTACGGGTGATCGTTTTCATGGACGGTCTCAACCAACCGCCCCGCTGTCAGCAGCAACTGCCCATGCCGCCCACTGCCTTGTCCGACCAGCGTCCACACAAACGCTACAAGGTACTCCAGCAATGTTTCATCATTGCAAAGCTCGATCCGCCCCACGTCAACCGTCCAGCGCTCCAGGCGCTCCCGTTCATGCAACTCGCGCATGGCGCCCTTGAACTCATCACACCGGTGAAAACTCACCCTTGCAAGCTGCATGCACTCCATGGCAAGCAGCATCCACAGCACCCGCAACTCAAACGATTGGGCGCTTGAAAACAAGCGCAGGTACCGTTCCACGTCGGCAGCATTGGCCACCTGATATCCCCAATCCTCGCGAGTCTCGTCAAACTCGCGCACTACCGTCAAATGGAGCGTAACGCCGCGCACATACTCCAAGTCCACGCCACCCCAACCGGCAGGCGTGAAGATCCGAGAGCGATCCCAGTGGAACCCCAACTCTCGCTCGAACACTTCGTCTCGGGCTAGACCGGTCCGCTCCGGTCCAACAAGTTCGGCCTTCACTTTGGCTTCCGTCTTAACAGCGGTTCCCACGCCGCTCGCCTTTCTTTCTTTTCCCCCAACGCCCATAGCGTTGGGATGTCCCCCATCGCCTGCAGGTGTCCCAGTCACACCTTCGCTGCTCGCCTTCCTCGCTGCTTCCGCAGCCTCCTTCGCTGCTTTGTCCGCTTCCTTCGTCGCAGCCGCTGCGATCGCTTTGGCCTCTTCGGCGCGCCTAGCCTTCACATCTTCGGCCGCCCTTGCCTTCTTGGCGGTGCCAAGTGCTGCAGCTTTTGCACACCTTCAGCGCCCACTGTTTGCATGGCGCTCTTTTCCAAGTCGGCAGCCGCTTGCTGCTCCAGCTGTCCAAGCCGTTCGCGCTTCACGGCCGCCTTGACCTCCCAGTCGACCTTACGCTGTGCCACTTCAGCCGCGTCCTCGCTCGGCACCACTCCGCCGTCGTCATCCGACTCGGCTGTGAGGTCCACGACCTCCACTTGCTGCGCCGGCGCTTCGGCCTCTTCGACGCTGTCGTTGGCATCCTCGGCGATCTCGTTCGCCTTGCGCTTCTTGCCTTCGTCTGCCATCTCAATCTCAACTGTCACGCCACAGTTCCCTCTCATTTTGACCACGAGATGATGGCACGTTCTGTCTTCAACTGTAAGTAGGGGAGGGTGTAACCGTGTCCATCATCCGGTTACTAACCGGATGACTAGTCGACACCCCTTCAGTTCAAGGTGTCTCTTCAGTCCAAAGTGTATCTTCGCACACCAACAAGTCCTCTTGCGCAACCAAGGTGTTCCCCCGACGATACATCAATGGTTGAGACATCAATGGTTGCGTAGCTTAGTGATAGCGTAGTAGTTTTAACGCTATCAATTCATTCTTGATTCTACCATCTCCTGCGTCTTCCTCTGCGCACGCTCACACACGTGGCACCCGGATCCACGCCGTGTGCCACGTGTATTGCGTGCAGAGGCTGCTCCTCACGGTTCATGTCCTCGCCTCGTCAGAGACTTCTCTAAAAACCAACATACAGTGCTGGCAAAAAGTTTAAGACCACGTAGAAATTTGACCGGTTTGCACATTCAACTTGGTCGTCTCTAAATTGAGATGGATTCTACCATTCCGAACGTGCCTTGTAAACCATCATGACATGCGTCGCAACTTGGCGCCAAGTACCCATCACGCTACGCAAAAAAAACGTGTCATACAAAATAACCATGTGGCAAAAACTATAAAACCACCACGTCAATTTTGCTCTTGTAGGCGTTTTTTAGCTCTCAAACCATGTTTTTTATGCTCCGCGTAATGAGTTTAACCGATTCCCGCCTTTCCTTGATTTCAAAACTTCATCCTTGCATGCCAGCGGGACCCAAACTCACGGAAGGTGAGTTTGGGTCCCGCTGCAACACACAAACCGCGGTCGGCAAAGGCCACAGAGAGATAGAACGACTTTTAAGTCGCTCTCGAAGTGCCATTGCACACTTCTTACGTGACCCAGCGGGCTACAATGTCAACAAGCGTAGTGGACGGCCACCCAAGGTCAGTGCCCAAGACCTGCGCCGGCTTCTTCGGACTTCATCCAACTCGTTTTTAAGCTCTCGTGAGCTCGTCGATGAGTGCCAACTAGCCATTAAGGCTAGGCGTGCCCGGCAACTACTCAACCAGGCCAAGCACCTCCAGTACATCAAGGCCATGGCCTCACCAACGCTGACGGACAAGCACAAGATTGCGCGCCAAAAATGGGCATGCGACCAGGTCACATGGAGCGACCTTGACTGGGCCAAAGTCGACTTCAGCGACGAAAAAAAGTTCCACCTCGATGGTCCCGACGGCCTGAAGTACTACTGGCATGACCTCCGCAAGGAGAAGGCCATGTTCTCCAAGCGGCAGTCCGGTGGCGGAAGTGTGATGGTTTGGGGCGCTTTCAGTGCCAAGGGTACGTTAACGCTTGCTATTCTGGAGGGCAATCAAGACAGCGGCGCATATGTGAACACGCTGTGCGACCATCTGTTCCCGTACATCGACTACCATTTTCGCCGCGAGTGCATTTTTCAGCACGACAATGCCTCAATCCATGCGTCGAAGGAGACCAAGGAGTTTTTGAACGAGCACAATGTGCACGTCATGGATTGGCCGGCAAAGTCTCCAGACTTGAATCCCATCGAGAACACTTGGGGTGTTCTTGCGCGTGCGGTTTACGCCCATGGACGTCAATTTGCGTCCAAAAATGAGCTCATTCCAGCCATTCTGAAGGCGTGGGATGATATCGGCCAAGACCTCATCGACAAGCTGTTGAAATTGATGCAGAAGCGCTGCGTGAGTGTCTTGGAACTCAAGGGGGGTAAGACAAAGTATTGAGAGCAATTTGGATCGTAATCGACAAACATTGATGCACTTTATTGACGTGGTCTTATACTTATTGCCATCGACGATTTTATATTCTGCACACAATGTGAGATTGAATGTTTGAATTGCCTTTGTTGCTGCACTTACAGGCCTCAATTTCGTATTCAATCAATTGTACGATATGGCTCACCGTTGTTTTCAGGTGGTTGTAGCGTAACGTCCAAACCGGTCGGTGGTCTTACTGTATACTTTTTGCCAGCACTGTACGACATTTGGTCTTTGTATTGAAAATGAAGAGTCATCTACCAGTGAAAGGTACGAAGTATTGTACTTTTAACCAATAAGACTAATGTCGGATAGATTTGTCGTATTCGCCAAGTTATCCATACGTATATAAACGTTCAAAAGTAATGCAATTAGTAAGTTACTACAGTACTACGTAGTATTTTTGAAGTAAGTTATTAGCCAAAGTATTAATAGTAAGTTGTCCCTTACTACAGCAGTACTATTGATGTAATACTTCAGAAGTAGTACTGTCATGATTTGATATTTGTAGGCTAATTAATATGACGAAACATCAGCATGATGAGTTTTAACGTGCATATATTCCCCGAACGGTTTCAAACATCAGGAGATTTGTATACCTTGAACCAAAATTCGAATTAAAATTCGATTCAATGTAATACTGCCATTCAACACTGCATTTTTGAAGCTGACCAATTATATGGCAAAGAAACCATGATGCACTCTGATTGGTTATTAATCAAAAGTAAATCCAGCCATCTTTCGAATTCCACAAACAAGTCAACAAATATGACATCGTCCGACTTCTCCAAACGATGATTATAAAAACACCCAAGAACTACGGCTGCACCCATCCATCCAGTCGTAATCAACTCGAACATTTCTGGCTTGGATAGTTCACGACGATACTTCTTTTCGAATAGGTTTTCCTATTTTTTGTTAAATTATTATAAAAATAATATTCTTTGACGTTGTGTGTACAGTATTATTGACGTTAAGTCTTCTTCACAAGGAAATCTGGTTTGCAGAAATTGTCAAGCGCGTGATTGGTGGATTCAAAATGCACGACGAACGAGGCGTGTCCATTCATTCGCACTTGATTATTACGACCACAATGAACCTAGTACTAGTGTATTACTGTACTACTTAATACTAGTACATCTGTACGAACCTAATACTATTGTACTATTCTTACAAAGGCGATCCCGTCGATTCAATCAAATGCACAATATATCTCCACTTAGTCTGCAAACACATTCGATCCCACTTCGTGAACGGTCATGGAATTGGTGGATTTCGACGCCCCGAGCGGTCGCCCCCCCAGGAACAGCACCAAGTCCGACGGCTGCACCCACCGATTTTCAAGCAAAATCTTGGACGCTTGGTCGATGAAATCTGACAGTGTCGCTGGGACGTCCATCGCCACTGGTGTAATACCTACATATACATCATGAGCGCTCACGTCTTTGCTAACTTCCTATTACACGCGCCAAACGTGCACAAGACATACTCGAATTCATCAGTCACAAATATATAAAATATGTGCTTAAGGATATTTAACGAAATCCATCATATATATATACATATCGTTACGTATCGAATGCACAATTATTGTATATATATATATATATATATATATATATATTAAGTACAGATCCATTTTGCCAGTGTGTGTGATATGGTCAAGTCGATTCGAAATCGGAGTGTTTGGGTGCTTGCTGCTCAATCGAATGAGAGCAAAATCACCAAATCGGCAGATAATCGATATACGACCAATGAAAGCCCACAACATGAATGAAGTGGCCAATCAGATTCACGTTTCGACCAATTCAACACTAAAGTAATGTGTGACTGAAATTAGTGTGAAATCAGGATAAAGAATCGATCGATAGATTTGGCAAAGAATCCGCACAAAAAGTCAACCAAATTTTGGGTAAATGGACAAAACGTCAAGACCAGGTGCGGGCGGTGAATAAACAGAAAAAAAAATTCACACAATATATATATGTATATACACGTGTTATACCATTGTACAGTGCCATTTGGTTGACCGAGCGGGGATCGTCGGAAAACGCAACAATTGGCACGCGAAAGTCGCTTTGGCTCAAGTACCGGGCGGCGTTGCCATGTTGTGACCAGCACACGACCACTTTAACCTACGTGTATATTGTAAGAAAAAACGCGTTTTTTAGATTGGACAGAGTTCGATTTTGTGAATCTTGAATGACCAGCCGGCACACGACAATCGATATACGACCAATCAAATCCTCACAACACGAATCAAGTGGCCAATCAAATCATTCACTCTTGGACCAATGCAACATCGAATTAGTGTGAATAATGAAATTAGTGTGACACTGGACGATATTTACACACAAACGTCAAAGAATCAATCAATTTATCGATCGAGTTGGCGAAAATCAGGTCAAATGTCCACATGTTGGGTAAAAGGACAATGATATTGTGGTGGTATATTCGAGTACAGATTTCCAGCCCCCGTCGAATCACGAATATCATCGGCGCTATTGGCTAATCCAATTTTGATTGGCTCGACAAACATATTCAACCAATCAGAACACTTCCAGCGTGATTCGATCTTTTGATTGGACAAACAACCACGCGAAGTTTGCAAATTGATTGCGATCATTCACATAATACCACCACGACCAAAATTCACATATATATTATATATATATATATACCCACCCACCTCTGTCTTGTTTACGACATGCCATGCCCCGTACGCCAGTGCCGCCGTGAGCTTGTGAGCTGGCGCGTTTCGCTCGGGCGGGACGCTCGTGGCCTTATGCGAGTCGGCACTTTCTGCCTGCTCGATGATGTCGGCCATAGTTTGCACCACAAGCTCTGGGTGGCGGCCCGTGGCACTTTCAGCCGACAACATGACGGCATCGGCGCCGTCCCAGATGGCATTGGCGACGTCGCTGGCTTCGGCCCGCGTAGGGATTGCGTTCTCGATCATGCTTTCGAGCATCTGGGTGGCTACGATGCATGGCTTGCCGTAGAGCTGGCACCGCGCGACGATTTGCTTTTGAATGATGGGGACGGTCGCCAAGTTCATTTCCACACCCAAGTCACCGCGGGCAACCATGATTGCGTCGCTGGCTTCGATGATCGCGTTCAAGTTGTGAATCGCCTGGGGCTTTTCAATCTTGGAAATCACATGCATGCTGCTGTTGGAGTCGCCGCCCAGCGCGGCCTTGAGCTCGACGACTTCGGCCGCGTCGCGCACAAATGACAACGCGATGTAGTCGAGGTGGTTGGCTTTCGCCCATTCGACACAGGTCCAGTCCTTGGCCGTGATCGCAGGCGCCTTGATGTCAGAATCGGGCAAGTTGATGCCTTTCCCAGACGTGATAACGCCTCCCAACAACACACGACAGACAAGCGCATCATTGCCTTGCGCAGACAACGCTTCCATGCGGATCGCGCCGTCGTTGATCAGCACGAGATGCCCCGGGGATACTTCGTGAACCAAGTCTTTGTACGTCAGAGCCAGAGTGGCAACGCCGTCGACAATCACAGACTCTTCGGCCGACGCGGACAGGATGACCGTGTCACCTTCCTTGACGACGATGAGGCCGCCGAGCGCAGGGGGGGTGGAGCTCATTTGAATGCTCGACGGAATGTACCCGACGCGAATCTTGGGACCTATTTGTATAGGTCAGTCGTGAGATGACGTTTGTGAGGTTTGTAGGTCGGCCTTACCTTGCAAATCCCCGCACACGGCGACGGGAATCCGAAGCTGCTCCGACGCCTTACGAATCGAGTGGAGACGTTCTGCATGAGAATCAAAGTCGCCGTGGCTAAAGTTGAGCCGGAAAATGCGCGCTCCACTTGTGATAAGACGTTTGAGAATATCCACGGATTCACTAGCAGGTCCAACCGTGCACATGATCTTCGTGTCCTATATGAGCACACAATATAGGTTCGCGTATCACATCAGCATAAGCGGGCATGGTGTCATATCTTGTAGGGGAACGTACTCTGGCGCGCAGAGGAACATACACTTGTGGCGGCGGCGTCGACATCCATCGGAGAAACGACGCTTGCGCGCGGCGCGGCACACTGCGACGCCCACTCCACATGATGTCAAATTCGAAAGTGTTTCGATAGTATCTGGGGATTTCCCTCCTCCACTTTCATTGGTGGAATGCCACCAATCCCCGATGTGGCAGACAATCCGAAATAGTGTATGTCCGTACCGAGTAAACCAATGTGGTCTTATATGAACTGGAATATGTCGTGTATATGATACCAGGAATGGTATTGGTATGGTAGTATGCTAGTATACTGTATAGAAATGGTCACTCTTGATATTGCAACACGTCATATGTTACACTTGGAATGGACAAGCGCTCCGAGCCACAAGATTCTTCGCGCACCCACTTGTATCAGATTAACAGTCAATTTCGCTGCATCGTGATTGTACAACCATCACTTGGTATCATTAACTACGTACTACTACTCCGGAGCTCTACAGTACTCGGAGGAGTATGTACATAACACTAGTAAGCTTGTACTGGTACTGACTGCTGTAGTACGGGACACTTACTTTGACTACTCCGAGTATTGACTTTTTTATGGAATTCGTAACGTTAGGGAGATTGCGTACTGCTAACGAAGTACATACCTAGTGCTATCAATGGCATTACTGTACCACTAGGAAGCATCACATTCCCCTTTGGCATGTACCACTAGGAAGCCTCACATTCCGCTTTGGCATGTGACCTGTACAATAGAGGAGGATTGGTCAATTGGACTCCGGCAAATTGTGATTTTCTTGAGATCTCATTGGATATGAAAATCGTAGGACCAGCTCCCTACGATTTCGTCAATTCAAAATGAATTGCGAAATTTTACAAATTCGTATATAACTTGGAAAAAAATTGTGGTCGAGGATTTCGAAATGGTGAAATCGTAGGGGGGTGCGCCTACGATTGCATACAAAAGTCAAGTTCTGGCCCACGAATTCCGTAGAATGTGCTTTTCAGTCAAATTTGCCTATTTTGGGGGATTGATGAAATTGCCAACCAATCGAGCAAAGGATTATGATTGGCTACAAAGTATGGAGGTTGCAATTTGATTGGCTAAAGAGATTGATTTCTGTATTGCAGTCACTAAGATACCTCTTCAACTTAGTTTTATATGAAATTTCGAAGGTCCGGAGATTGTTCGGCGGTTCATTCACAAGTCAACCAACCGCGGGAGGAAATTTTGAGTAGAACACACAATACTACTACTATTAATATTAATAACTGTAAGTATATGCATCGAATTCTCGGACAGAATCAATTTCTCGGACTGCAATAAAATAGACATAAATAGTGCATATTTTTATTCCACAATACAGAAATCAAGATACAATCACTGTCCGAGAAATAGAAAATCACAATCTTTCATTCCGACATTTACGACTGCTCCTTATAATCCTATACAAACAACATATTCAGCTCTTTTACGATCAAAAAGGAACTATAAAATAACGTTAGTGCTCGAATTATATTTTCCTCATATGAGTTGCTTGGCTCCACACAAAACGGTTGCATAACTTGTAAAAATATGACATTTAAATGTTAGAAAATTATAACATAACATATCAATGTACTAACTAGTATGCTATAAATTATAGCTCATGATGACAATAATTGTTTGGCATCTTTCACGCTATATTTGAAGTTTTCGCCAAAATGCGTCTTTAATGTGCTGCTTCGTGGCTCAGAGATCACCGATCAACGCAAGATCATGGTATCATGTACAGTGGGTACGGAAAGTTTAAGTCCAGCTGCATTTATTTTCTATTTTTGGAATATCTCACAAGATATTTGGGGAGCGA